CAGTACTGACCATCGTACCACGTGACCGAGAAGCCCGAAGCTCCCTTCTCTAGGCCCTGCTCTATTGTTTTCTTTCGAGTGTTTGGAACGTACGCAGTGAGTGTTGTAATCCTCAGCTGGCTGTTTTCTGTGCATCATCAGTGCCACTGGCCAAGAATGAGGTCATAAGGTAGGTCGTTGGAGATGCCTGGGACCTGCGCAGCTGCCTGCAGTCCGGCGCCCTCGTGAGTGCTGGTCGCAACTGGAAGACTGGGTCAGCATGAGAGACGGATCATCATGCCGACAACAACCTTGCTGTTTCGGGACCGGTACTGAGGTGAAGTCGAGCCGGACAGTGCAGCAGTGTTGACCGGCGGCGGTGTCGTAGTGCACGGACATAATGCAGAGACATGTGTTGTAATTTTTTTTTTATAGCTTGTGTAGCTGACTTATTTGTTTTCCTAATATGCTTTCATTCAAGGTTGGGGGAATGTGGGGTGCTGACACCTCCTGTAGAGTTGCTTGCACCGGGTGGCACACGTGTCTTGCACAAAAGCCATATTTCGGAGGCGACAACCACCGGGTGATAGGTGGCGTGTTCGCGAGAGTTGGCCACCACTATCGTCATCATCATCATGATGTAGCGCCGGCAGTGACCCCTGGCAGAAGCAAGCCTTCTTGGTGGGCAAGAGTAGAGCGAGTCTTTTGCGCGCGGCGACTGCCGCGAACGGTTGTCTCCAGCGTGGGTCCTCGGTGCATGGTACTGCGGCCTTCGTGCTGGGGACCCCTCGTTGTAAGTCAAGCGTTGGCGCCGCCGCCTTGGTGTGTTATTGTGTTTGTCATGTTATTGTGTGTTTGTCGTGTTTTGGGGTGTACGGGAATAGTGGGTACGGATGTCCTAGTGTGTTGATAACAACTGATGTATTGATTCGGCGGACAATATCGTCGTCTAAATTAGTTACATAAATGTATGTATTGTTTCGTTTGTACTGACCGTGTCCACTGTGTCCGTTCACTTCAAGAGCGTGGCGTGGCGCTCGCCAATCGAGACCCCACAGCGTTCATTTTCAAAACGCGGTTTGTCCCACTCTAATAGCCCAAGTATGTTTGCTTGTACGGTTGCCCAGCACAGATTTTGCTTTGGTTGGCTGTATATGCTGCATAAGATCAGTTCAGGCACTTGCCCGGAGTGCTGTGTATTGTCATCGAACTCTTTGTCTCCCACAATCATGTCGGTGTAGGTGCCGCATTTTCGCTGAAGCATGTCGTAATGTGCACTTGTCGTCGTTTGAAGAATATTATATATTGTGTAATGCAACGTTTTAGCAACTCAGTGATAAAGTTTTTTAGTGTTGTTAGGTGTTTAGCTGCAGCACTGTTGCTTATCAATTACGTGATAAGCTTTAATTGTGCTTGAGGTAAGCTTATATTGTACAGTAGTCATCACACTACAATAAAATATTTGTCTCGAAAACTCTGACACTTTGGCACATAAATTGTCCCTTTGAAAAGAACAGGAAATGGAATGACATTAATTTGATTACAAGTGGAGTCACTGTGCGCAATGTTTATATTAAGTTAAATTTATGCAGATACATCTGTGTGCCTATCTTAAGGTTTGCCTTCAAGAATTCAGATGGTAAAAATGAATCCAGACAGCATGCCTCCCAAACAGTGTTGGTATCGTATAATGTCATGCAAAATAACACCCTCTTTTTTACAGTAACTTGTGCGCTTTTGGTCCCATGATATAAGCGAACCTTTGTTGCATCACTGTCATACAGATAATCAGTAGAAGAAAGCGGCAAGCTTAAATGGGCCTTGAAACACTTTTTTAAGTAACCATGGGATGAACTAACTGGAAGAGCTTATTGCCTCACAAATTCAAAGCCGCAAAAATTTTAAGAATCTGTCCAGTACGACCGGAATTACAAGATTTGAAGCACGCTGCAATCACAATCTCTCTTCTCCTGCCCCGACGAAAGCGCTGGAAGCTAAGCAAGGAGGTGTGGCAGGAGCAAGAAAAATAGGTCCTGCGAGTCTCGTGACCTTGAGCACTTCTTTCCTTCAAATACGCGTCTTTTTCAGTACGATTGCACGCGTGGACAAGTCACGACCTTCCTTGACGACCTCTGTAACGACCGAGCACGCCATGTATGAATTAGCCAATGGGTGATAGATGGCCTTATATGAGTGATTTTTGAGCATCTTCCATCATTTGTCCAGGAAAGAGAAAGCGATTTCTAGCGGACTTAGATCATTTATTGTGAATTCCAAGCCGTGTGCTGCACTACAGTTAAACCTGCTTATAATGAACTTCCATATAACGAATTCTTTTATATAACGAAGTTTTTCGATTCCTCGCCATTGCTCCATAGAAGCGTATGCGTTTGCGACCTCTATGTAACAAAGTAACAATGGGAGAGAACCTTGATATAACGAAGTTTCCCCACGAACAATCTAGCCCTTGATATCTAAGTTCATTATTACTACTCAAGCGATTCCCCTCCACAGGTTGTTTCATGCTCGTTCAATACGAGTGGTTCACTTTCTGTTTGAGGATTCGACAGCAGTGCTAACACGCGGGAGACGCTATCTTATGCACTTTCCAGGCGATAGAGATGGGCCAACTCATTTGATCGGTGCTTCAGCAACGCTCGTGCGCCTTTACCTGCTTGTAAAGGTTACTATGCGCAGGGGCATGTTATCAATTAATTTAGACTTGTTGCAAAATATGGCGGCGACGGCAAAAGCCCACCGAGAGTGTCCATATAATTGCTATCGCAATAATAACACAGATCTTTTACCGTATAATAAGTGTTTTGGGTTAGCTCTGCCTTCAGCCCCCCCGTTTGTTTAATTTACACCTTTACATTCCAAATATTCGTGTCAAAACTGCATACAACGAAACCTTTTTATAATGAATTCTTTCAGAAAATCAATTATGTTATTACACCCAGGTTTAACTGTATAACATTTGGTGCACATGTTCTCAGGAGCCTCTACTACAAATCGGCAGCGTTTTCTGAGGATGCTCACAGAGTGTTGCAGGGCCCCTTTAACTGCAACATTGTATACTTTCTAACCTTTTTTACTGTAACCTTTTTATACTGTAATAGGAGTAAGAATGAGTGTCCTGAAGCGCCGTCAGCCTTTTAACCTTCGTGAATAAATTCTTCAACTGTACCACATTCATTTCACAGAGAACTGAATAAGAAAAAAAATGTGGATGCATATTCACAGTTATTTTATCTCATCGCCCATGAATATGACATTTCATTCTCTCTCTCTCTTTTTCTTAGTATCCAAGACCAGCATGCATGAAGCTGAAAATTAATTCAGGTGCACTACAGCAGTGTGTAGTCGGTGGGACACAAGCTTTACACTTATAAATTAATCTATAATAAATGTAATATAGCGGAAAAATGATCACAGCCCCAAGCCCCAACATCTCTTTCAATGGCAGATCGCTTTTCCCTTCAAGTAATAGTAACATTCGGTGAGCTTCGTGCATCCATTCGGCAATGGACGACATGCACATTATGAGTTGGCTGTACTCAACACATTTTATTCGCCTACAACCCGTTCACACCACACACAAAAAAGTGAAACTGCGTACATTTGTATGCGCACCGCCGGCCACCTATCCACACTAGAGATGGTGCTGCCACCTATAGCCCGGTCTCGGGGCAAAAAGCTGGATTATATAACCCTTGGAGCCACAGACTACTAGTCATGGTCTCTGATTACTTTCAGCACTTTAATGTTTCTTCACCCCACTTTTTGAAGGTTTCGTACATTCTACAACCCACCTAATTAGTAGATTTTTCAGTGACCTGGTGACCTTAAGTTAGTGAAGTTTCACTGTTCACCCGTTCACCAGCCCCATGCTCGGACCGTAGCTCACTCATCGTCCTTTTTCGTGCTGACGCCCCAAAGACTGCACCATTCTCTCTGCTGGTACCGTGCGCCACTCCAGCTGGGCACTTTTCAAAACAGAAATTGTCAAGAATTTGTTGAGTTTTTTTTTTTTGACCAGCCCTCATGTAAAACCCTTAAACCAGGGCGTTTGAGGTAACAGAAATAAATAAATAAATATTCATGGTAATGCTACAAGATACTGCAACTTCCAAACTCGAGAGATCTCTGAAGCCTACTTCATGCATATCATTCTGAAGCCTTCTTCAATGCACTGCATGGAATCAGCCTGTGTCAGTTCACCGTAAATAGTGTTAATTAACAAGGAGATACACTGTCTGTGGTCTGAAGCTCCTTGTGTCATCGATAGAGTGGGGCCCATATTCACAGACCAACCTTGGCCTTACCTCCAATTTTTCTTTGACATGCGGTATAAGGGCACAAAAATGGTAACACGGTAAAACATAACGTCAAGATTGGTTCACGAATACTAGCCAACTTTGTATATAGCGCAATAAACACCTAAAACCTATAAAGAAAACTCGAGGCAAGAATAAGGTTGGTTGGTGAATATGTGCCTCGGACACACGCACATTTTTTGAAAACATTTTTCTCTCCCACATAACCCGTACAAATGATCGCATTGTTTGATAGTCGACGCCAGCTCTTCTTCCTGCGTTTTTGGTTTTCACACTGTTTTGTAGTCAAGAAACACTTGGCTGCTGCAGTATTGATGCTGGGATGTGAAGCCAGAGGAAAAAAATTGGGCAGGAGTATTGAACATGAAGTCGTAAAAGTGTCTTATCTAGGTATGCATTCAATGCAGATGATGCTAATGCAGCTAATGTGCAAATATGCTCAGCCAACATGTTAGAAGCCTAATATGTTGCACTTCCCACTGCGACCACTTGGTCAAGTTGGGATGCAAGACGCAAATGCTCTCTGCTAGTCTATTCCTTCTTTGGTGATGCTAAATGCATGTAGGCATTTCCTGCACTGACACAATTCAAAGCCTACTTAAGCTAGCTAGTGATGCCGATGCAGCTGAGCTGTATGACTTGTAGCTTTGTTCGTTAATTTTAACATGGGTCGAGCTCTCTGACCGTAGTCGTCGGTGCCCATGGCTGGATCCACTTTGGGCGTGAGAAAGGCAATGAAGAGGTTGAGGTGGTAGATGCCCAGCGCGTACGTGATGATGTACCAGCCTTGCAGGTACAGGATGCGCCCCAGAAATGCCACCAGCAGCAGCAGGGCCCCCAGCCACCGTGCCAGTGTGTATGGCGTCCACACATCTAGCATCCGTTGATAGCTCTGCAAAATATGCAAAGCAAGTGTCCTTATTAGCTTACATTTCCATCAAAGCCAGCCTTGTCGTTGGCCTAAAGCTCACTCAAGTGGCCCGTCATCCAGTGGCCCTTTCTATGAAACTGTAAACTGCACTGCTCACATGCTCATTTGTGAGCTTCGCAAAGATGCTATCATGGTCTGCTGATTTGAGCAATTTTTGGAGCAGAAAAAAATGCATTTTGGAGCACTTTGGAGCAGCAAAATTTCTCATTTTGGAGCAATCTGGAGCAGCTAACTTCACATACTAAAGGAAAAGCATGTTGCAGTTACATTGAAGGACATCAATAATTATTTTGGGGCTCTTATGAAGAGCTATAAATATGTTGATTCATTGCAAACCTTGTGAAGCCAGCCAGACATTTGATGATGCAAAAATAATGTTGTCATTCTGTTAAACATTCTAAAGAAACTTGTTCAGTGATTATTTTCGTAGTAAATAAACAGAATACTAGAATAAAATAGTACTTCATGAAATAACACATGCATACATCAACTAACTCACGAGCCTCAGTCCCCAGCGGCTGCGAAGCAATAGACCACGGCTTCGGTCAGATTTGCAATGCAGCAGAGGGTGCTAAGAATCTTTGGATCCAGGCAGGCCGCCATTGGAACCTGAACTTGGCAACGTCTAAACCTAGAACCTTATCTAGTGAGGCAAGTCTAGGTGTACTATTCGAGGAGCTAGAAGGCATTAAATTGGATCTAATAAGGCTCAGTGAGGTTAGGAGGACAGATGAGGCCTATACAGTGCTACAGAATGGACACGTCCTTTGCTATCGGGGCTTGGCTGACAGAAGAGAACTGGGAGTGGGGTTCCTTATCCACAGAAACATAGCTGGCAACATAGAGGAATACTATAGCATTAATGAAATGGTGGTAGGTATCGTAATTAAACTCAATAAGAGATACAAGATGAAGGTGGTACAGGCTTATGCGCCTATATCCAGCCATGATGACGCGTCAGTTGAAAGCTTTTATGAAGACGTGGAATCGGCCATAAGTAAGGTAAAAACACAGTATACTATACTGATGGGAGACTTCAACGCAAAAGAAGGAAAGAAACAGGCTGGAGACCAGACAATGGGAGGCACCAGTACTAGAAATGCCAGAGGGGAGCTACTAGTAAAATTCGCAGAACGCAATAATTTACGGATTTTGAATACCTTCTACAGAAAGTGAGGGAACCGTAAGTGGACATGGAGGAGCCTTAATGGCGAAAATAAGAATGAACTAGACTTTATACTGAGTGCACACCAAGGCGTCGTGCAGGATGTGGAAGTGCTTGGCAAGGTACAATGCAGTGACCATAGAATGGTACAGTCCCGAATTCGCCTAGACTTGAAAAAGGAACGACAGAAGCTGATACGCAAGAAGCCAATGAATGAGCTAGCACTGAGAGCGAAAGTGCGAGAATTCTGAGTCTTGCTTCAGAACAGGTACTCGGCTCTTATCGAGGAAAACAGCCTTAGCGTTGACGCAATGAATGATAATCTGACGAGTACCATTACGGAGTGTGCATTGGAAGTTGGAGATACTGTAATTAGACAGGACACTGGCAAGCTGTCCCAGGAAATGAAGAATCTCATTAAGAAGCGTCAAAGCATGAAAGCCTCAAGTACAACCGACAAAATAGAGTTGGTAGAGCTTTCAAAGTTGCTTAATAATTAGCGTAAGGTATCCGATGCAAGAAGGTATAACATAGAGAGAATCGAACACGCTCTGAAGAACGGAGGAAGCATCAAAGTTGTGAAGAGAAAACTCAGGATAGGCAAAAACCAAATGTATGCACTAAGGGACAAGGAAGGCAAACTAACTACCAATATGAATAGGACAATAAAATTAGCAGAGGAATTTTACAGAGATCTGTACAGTAGCCAGCACAACCACGACCTTAACATAAGAACTAGTAGTAACCCAGATGACACCCCACCGGTAAGGATAGAAGAAGTCAGAAAAGCCTTGGAGAGCATGCAAAGAGGCAAAGCTGCTGGTGAGGATCAGGTAACATCAAACCTGCTGAAAGATGGAGGACAGATTGTGTTAGAAAAACTAGCGACCCTGCTTACGAGGGGTCTCCCGATGGGAAAAGTACCTCAATCTTGGAAGAATGCTAACATCATCCTAATACATAAGAAAGGACATGACAAGGGCTTGAAGAATTACAGGCCAATCAGCTTACTCTCCGTAGTATGCAAGCTATTTACAATGGTAATTGCTAACAGAATTAAGACACTAGAATTCAATCAACCAAAGGAACAAGCACTGAACAATCGACCACAATCAACCAAAGAAACAGGCTACTAAACAATCAAACACAATCATACTATTAATCAGGTAATAGAGAAATGCTCAGAATATAGCCAACCAATATACATAGCCTTCATAGATTACGAGAAGGCGTTTGATTCAGTAGAAATATTAGCAGTCATGCAGACACTGTGGAATCAGGGCGTCGACAAAGCATATATATAAACATCCTGGAACAAATCTACAGGGAATCAACTGCTACCATAGTGCTTAATAAAAAAAGCAACAGAATACCAATCAAGAAGGGTGTAAGGCATGAGAATACAATCTCCCCAATGCTATTTACCGCGTGCTTACAGGAGGTTTTCAGAGGCCTAGAATGGTAACAGTTAGGCATAAGAGTTAATGTACCTTAGTAACCTGCGCTTCGCTGATGACATTGCATTGCTGAGTAACTCAGGGGACGAATAGCAACTCATAGTTACGGAGTTAGACAAGGAGAGCAGAAAAGTAGGTCTTAAGATGAATCTGCACAAAACGAAAGTAATGTACAACAACCTCGGAAGAGAACAGCGCTTCGAGATAGGTGATGGTGCACTTGAAGTTGTAAAAGACTATGTCTACTTAAGACAGGTAATAACCGCAGAGCCGAACCATGAGACTGTAGTAACTAGAAGAATAAGAATGGGGTGGAGCACATTTGGCAAGCACTCTCAAATCATGACAGATTGATTGCCACTATCCCTCAAGAGAAAGGTATATAACAACTGCATCTTGCCGGTACGTAGCTATGGAGCAAAAACTTGAAAACTTGCAGAGAATTCAGCTTAAATTGAGAACAACACAGTGAGCAATGGAAAGGAAAATGGTAGGTGTAACCTTAGAAGACAAGAAGAGAGCAGAGTGGATTAGGGAACAAACGGGGGTTAAGGATATCATATTTAAAATCAAGAAGAGGAAATGGACATGGGCCGGGCATGCAGCATGTAGACACTATAACCGCTGGTCATTAAGGGTAACTAACTCGATTCCAAGAGAAGGCAAGCGGGTTAGGGGGAGACAGAAGGTTGGGTGGACATATGTTAGCGGGTATGAATTGGCAGCAGCAAGCACAGGACCGAGTGGACTGGTGGAACATGGGAGAGGCCTTTGTCCAGCAGTGCACGTAGTCAGGTTGATGATGATGATGAAATAACATTTTAAATGCAGCCACGTGGTTATCAGCAGATTCGGTAAACAAGTCGTCCACCACTCATCTCTCTGTGCTGAAACTGCACAATTCAACAAACATTGTTTTCCTTTTGCAGTGTTGGTTTATGTGGCTAGAGCGTTCTGTCTATACACTAAAAAACCCCTAAAGTGTCCTCTAGAAAGCACCGCAAAAAAAAAAAAAAACCTCAAGGGGTACTTTATGCCCCTTGAGACTACTAAGACAACTCGAAGGCAAGAGCCATTTCATTTTTATTGTGATAGCAATTATACGAACACTCCCGACTGAATTTTGTCGTCACCAGGAATGTAGGTAGAAATATTTTTCTTGGAGGGGGGAGGGGGCACCTTGATTTGAAGGGGAGGGGGGCAAGCAAATGGTCATTTTGCACGACATATGCCACGGCAAAAAAAAATTCGGGGGAGGGCGGACAATCTCGATGTGTCCTCCCCCTGGCTACGCTACTGGCCGTCACCATCATGATGTGTACTGTCTCAATCGTTAACACCCCCCTCCGCATCGTGTGATTTACACGCAGGTAGAAGAAGCACGTGAGCGGGGGCGACGAAGGTGACTAAAGCAGAGATAAAAAGAGCCGACCTGTCTCCTTGCACGGAGAACAGATGAGATAAAATCCTAGTACGTGTCAGGCCTGCCATCAATTGTCACTCAAGGAAAGAGGAACGCGCCGCCCATTTTAAGGAGCACAAGGAGCAGGAATGAACTAGGACCGTAAGGGGGGGGGGGGGGCTTATTATATGAACTCTGACACTAAAGGTCTGATCACTAGCGCATTCGCTATTTCTGCAAGCATTAATGACAGCTGGTATACGCTGCTTCTATCTTCTACTCTCAACGCTAAGTGACTGGGCGAAAGTGCTTTGCTTTCTGGAGCGGCCATATAGAAGTGTGCACTGAGCCTTAATCGTAAGGCGGCCCCCACAATAGTCGTGCCATTTTAGAGGTCCATTCATACGCGCCATTTGTGCTGTACAGATAGAATCACACTTATCTGGAGCAGTGCAGAGTGTGCCTGTCGATACTGTTGTTGACCACGGCCTTTATCTCACATTGCCTACAAGCTTATGTTCATGCTTACACTATAGCACAAGGACTCAACACGTAGTATGACCATGTTTGGTATTATTACAGTGTCTTTCCTGACATATTTCTGAAAAAAAAAAAGAAAAAAAAAGGTATGACAGCTGGAGCAGCCAGCTGGGCGCTCGAGACAAGTCTGCTATCTGTGCGTGGGTCAGCGTAAGAGGTGTTTTGGAGGTCTCTAGTCATCTAAGTCGCTGTATATATTGAACACCGCACATGCAGAAAGTTCTCTGCGCCTGCGTGCGGACCTTCAAAATGAGAGCCCCCTGCTGGTGCTCCTTGCAGGTATCGCATTCATCTAACACTAACAAATTGTATCTTTTGGACCTGATATTGTGCAAATCGAAAGACCGTTGGCTAAAGGGAGATTGATCACACCAGCTACCGAAGTGGTTTTCGTGCT